TAAATGCATTAATTACATTATATATGTGTACAAGCGGTGCAAACCTAAATTAACATTGTGACGTATTTTTTGAATACGAATCGGAAAAGTTCACAAATATATCCATAGATACACGATGATTTTAATAGTTTTATGGCGCTCGTCGTACCATCAAGAGTTTGTATATACGTGTACGTGTGTACTTATATAGGTAACATTTAACGTATACTTATCGATTTACCTGTACACTCTATGATAAAATATATACTCGACTAAGTTAATCGCTCTATTTTTTCTTCAAATAAATATAGCAATACGATAATAAGCGCACACGTCATTCCTGTTGAGAAATCGGATTTTTTAAATTCAATTATGAATCGCGTATCGATAAAATGAACACGTACGTCCATGTTTATAAATCGTTCAGAATTTGAATGAAAACTGTCTCGCATAAAAAACATTGTACACAATTTCCACGCGTAAAGAATATTTTGATTCACACGCTTTAATTATAATTATGCCTCTTTTGAAATGTATTTATGCTTTGTGGGTACATCTCGTCGGTGCGGTATAAAGCCTAATATATGTATATACTAATACACTCTATAGTATATCCAATGTTTCCTACTTCGGTGAACTATGATTACACGAGTATAAATAGTGGCGGCTCATGCTACTATGCACAGGTTAGCACAGGAGCACGTGAATCACTCAAAAAAAATTATGTAAAAATCTATTAAATTCTTATAGTAAATAATAACAGGTTGTTATGCACGTAGTCTGTAATCAACAAAAATATGTATTTGTTAAAAAAAAAAAAGTTTTCGCAGTTTTTCATGTTGAGAAATGTGTATATATTTTTTATTTATTGGCAATTAAATAAATAACGGAGCACACGTTCGTTGTGCTCCGGATGGCTGTACAAAATTTAGCTCATGTGTAGACACGTCGGTTAGTAATAAAATTAAAATATAACTATTACCATTTCTAATTAACTATATATATATACATTTATTACTATTACTAATTGATGATATAATTGTATGTCGTACAATTCAGTATCAGTGCCGTGTTATAAGAAAAGTCAAAGGAGGGGGGGGGGAAGTTATCGCAACAGGAAAAATGTCCAAAGTGATTTTTTCAATAATACTTAATTATATTTTTTGACGAAATCATGAGAAGATAGGATCTCGAATCAAATTTTACATCAAAAAATATTAAACATTATAATTGTTAAAAATATCAATAAGGGTTTTTTTTTCCATAAATTTCCGAATACACATTTCTGCTTCCATTTTATTATACATCCATTTTATATTGTATGTATAAAACTGTAATGTAAATGATCAGTATTCATATTTTTTCCTAACTTTTAGCGGTTCATTTCAAATGTTTTAGTTTTAAATTTGAATGAAATGTAACGTTACGTTCTTATGTATATAGTTCTGCAAATATGCTATAAATAAAAAAAAAAATTGTGATAGTGCTGTGGTTATTGTTTAATTTTTTAACGATAGAAGGGTAGTAATGGGTGGCATTATGAAATCTTTCCCTCTCCCAGCGATAATTTTTTTTAACACAGCACTGAGTAGTATGCACGGTTACCTTTTTCCGAAGTCTTGTGACGATACGCTAATAGTTATTACATAAGTAAAATTATAATATAGCTTGTCGTTAAAAATAATAATTAAGTACTTATGCGTCCTAGTCATGTTACATCAAAGTGTGTTATTTTATCTTTGTGTTCCAGTAGTCAGTTATAAAAAATAATAATAATTTCCTACATCACCTTCAATCCAGAGTAAAAATGGTTTTTTTTTTTTTATTATACTTATATTTAGTTACGTACAATAATTTAAATTTAGTTTGGCGCTACTGATAGTAGTGATGGGAATTATAACTCGAATCACGTACCTTTAGCGACACGTTACGAAGTATATGTTAATACACGTACGCTAATACGCACTGATATTAACAACAATTAAATTATTCCTAATCCTAAAAAAAAAATGTATTATTTGAGTTTAATAGCCTTTTCCCATTGTTTTGAAATTATTCAAGACGAGAAAAAAAGCAATAACAATGCAACTGCAACATGTCGGTAATTAACAAAATAACTTGACATACTTCTAGGAAAATTTCTTTGTTTTTAGTGTTTTAATAATTACAACATGTTTTATTTAAACAAATAATATCTACATCATTTTAATTATTATCACTACGAAGAAAGTAAGTGTACGATTTAAATATAAAATAAATTATTAATCATCAATAAATTTGCAATGAAATATTATCGTATTATTTTTACATTTAATAATAATAGTAATGTTTTATAATTGATTGCAAAATAACGATTACATTTGTTTCTCAATCAACAATTTTAAATACACGGTCATTAGGAAATAAGCTATGAAGTATCGACTAATTCCAATTGTTAATTTGTTAACTAAATAATTGTACCAATGTGAAAATAAAATAATGGCTTTGGTATTATAATTATCATAAGTAGAATGTTAATTTAAATTTACTATTTAAAACTGTATACTGCAGTTTTATATAAGTTTTAATTTACATTCCTATAAGGCAGGGATGGACTTCTCAAAATTACTAGAGTGCTAATTTTTAGAAAATTTAAATTCAGCGGGCCAAAACAAAAGAGAAAAAAAAGTCATTCAAAATATAAATTTTAATTAGCATTTATATACACCGAAATAATAAATTCAACACTCACGGTAGCACGACATGAATGATATGAATAAACTGATATAGTTAAATAATTAAGTAGGTACAAACAGCTATATTAGAAAGTTATACAAATGACATTTAGACATTTAACAATGTCTAATACCAAATAACAGTTATTATATCGATAAAATAGAGTAGGTATAGATGATAAATTTTAAAATTGTATGATATAATTTGAAAATACAAGTATATCATGGGCCAGATAAAAAAGGCCGGTTGCCCACCCCTGCTAAAAGGTAAGCCATTTAAATTTTTTTTCGAGTTATAACGGGTACACGTACGTTATAAATTGGTACCTACGTCAAACATAAATTTATACTTTGTATACATACTAATTCAAAAATTGGTGAAACTTCAAGAATAAAGCATTTGAACGAAAAACGGAAGAAAATAATTTGTCTCATTACGACGTTTTTTTATCATTCTACCTCGAATGAAGGGATGTGTTGAGAATAACAACGTTTAAACGAATCTAATTTATTTAAAGAAATAAAAATAAAAAACTGCACTGCGCAGTGGAAATTTGATCTTAATTTTCACCGGATTGCGTTCTAATTTCATTCAATCGAACTCGAAAACGGTTTATTATTATTAGTTTTACTTAATAAATGACATCGGTCGTTATAGTAATTTAGACCGGACGTTTTTTGTATATTTTTTTTTTTTATTTATTTCCCAGGTGATGTTTTTCTTATAGAAAATATGATTAGACAGCTTATGAATTTAAAGTAGTTTTTTCAATATTTTTGTAATTCTTGGTTATTTTTTGAATTTTCTAATAAATTGAGAGAAAACGTTTAATATGATTTATCTGTTCAAATGTGTCTGTACTGCCTAGACTCTATAATGTTCCAAGAGGGTCACTAGTGTTCTAAGTTGTTTGTATGATATTCTGCAAATAATTCTTGGTTTGTTTTTCTTACAATATTTATTTATTTGATAAATAAAAAAATAAAAATTTTAGTTTTTTTTTTTTTTTTTAAAAAAAATAATATCTTTATAATATCACAGTAAGTATAGTAATTGGTAACCCTCGTGGACATCTTGTGTACATAGAATAATATATTTATTTAAATTATGCGAACAGATAATATTTATTAATAATATATTTTACCTTAATGAAATTTTAAATCCTAACGACATTAGAGTACACCTGTACACTCCAATAGTAAGACATTACGTCTAAATAATATTGTGTTTTAATGAAAACAACGAAGGCTGAACCATATACGATTATCATTCACGCAAACAGTATCACCATTAATCACAATTTAAATTGCATTAACGAATTTGTTATGCAACACCAACACCTTATTATCGTGTACACAATATAATATGTGTACGCACCAAAGACGATCACAAGTTTCGATAAATGCTCGTTGAAAACATTTTTAGGTAATAATAATTGTATTATTAATTTAGAAAAGTCAAAAAAATAAAAATAAAAAAATAAAATAGTTTAACTGCTGCGGTGTACACAATACGTACCCTATACACGTTATTATGTACAAAAACAACAAAATTATTTTGCAGCACCGATAAGGTAATAACATTTTTTATACAGTGGTGTTCCAATAGATTTTGTTGAGAGTATACTGTGCCCGACGAATACCTGAATATTTTAGACAGTGGCGGTGGGAAGGAAAAGTAAATAAAATTATTAAAATGAATTGATACCATTGTAAATACATAACATACCGTCAACAATTACTTCATAATGATAAACTAATGTTCTGAGAGAAAACTGAATGTCTAGTAGAAAATAAGATCAAAATTAAAACCTGCAAAACTTAGTGCATTTAATATTTCTCTGCGAAGTGATGATACACATACGTGTACACGTTTTTAAAATAATGTAAAGATTAGTTACACGGCGTATGAGTAGTATGCGAGCACCACTGGTGTTATAACTTTTTTTTATTATTTTCTTACGCAAACGTATAACTATCAATTTAACCGTCAGGTTGTAATCGATGAAAAGCAACGGTCTAAAGGAACCGATAATGATGTGCGACTCGATCACGTTATTCGGACACGCGACTAGTGAAAGTGTGGGCGAGAGAAAGAGAGAGGGACGGCGGGTTTCTCGCAAAGGAAAACTATGATGCAGTGTGAGAAGGTAGGGGTCCTGGTCCGAAGGATTTTAACCGGCCACGCGCAAGTTACTCTGGTAGACGACTGTGATTACGGGGGATAATTTATCCGGTTAGCCGAGCACAAGGACCAGACGTGCGTGCGTTGTGCACACCGATGATATGAACGCGCAAAACACTTACGGCCACGATCCGGACCGGTGTCGAGGTTTGCGGACGCGTAGCTGCTCGACGGTGCAGTTTTGGCAGCCCGCGACGTCCGTGCGCGGCACGTGCCCGTGGAACGCGGACCGGTCGCGGCAACCGGTGGTGCCGGCGGTGTCCGCGCGCTTCTCGCACGAGTGCTTGGCCACCCGAACGTCCGCGGACGTCTCGGCGATGCCGACTCCGACGGCGCCGTTGAATTCGTCCTCGGCGTGGCGCACCTTCATGGCCCGTTCGCCGGTGACGATACGTAGCAGCACTATCGACCGGTGGTGGCACGTGCGAACTAGAACACGCGCGTCACGTACGTCTTCGGGGGGAGTGCGCGCTTGGTTCTTGGCGATCCTGGCGAGTGATGCGGCGCGAGGCAAAACTGATACGTGTACCGGTGCGCGGATGGACGGCCGGCCGACGACTGAGCGAACGATGAACACTGGCCGTGGGACGCCACGCGACCAAACGCGCACCAGTCCGTCCCCACTGCGGCGCGATGCGTCACCGGCACCGTCGTTTCCCCGTCCACCGACAGCAGACACGTACGCGGCGGCGTGGCCCCTTTGTTGCGGCGGCCGTGGTGGTGCCCACGAACGGAACGGACGTTTACGTCCTCGGAACGGGATCAAGTCGGCGGAAGACTTTTTTTGGAAGAAAAAACCATGATCATACCCGATCGCGCTGAACTTGCGCACTCGTCTATCGCCAAATTATTTTTTCTACCGACGAATTTTTATACAACGATAAATTTACGTTCGTTAAACTGACATGTGTCAAATTTAAAAGTGTTGCCCAATCATTGTTTTATACTCGGATTATATTACCAGCAGGTATACCAACGCGTGGGTTACAACCAAAACACAATGTATTACAACGTGGAATAATATGTTTATCAATATTAGCTAACGACGACCAAACACTGATGAAGAAATTTAACCATACGTACAATTTTTATACGGTGATAAATCTGCTTCTAATTTAACACGTGATAAAATGAATTTTCAATAACACAACCATTTGAAACAGATTTTATTTTAACTTCAGTTAAATGACTTTATGCAAATGTTTAGTGCGACCGGTAATTAGAATACGGTTTTCCAGGAGCGACCTGTTCCACAAAATCCTAATATGTGAGAGGTCTAGAATTATTATACTCTCTAAAATGTTAGACATACAAATTGAAAAAAAAAATTATATTTAAAGATAATATTTGATGAGACATATCTCTAAGAGTAAGGAAATCATTAGTAGTGGATGTCACTAAAAAAGGTGGAGAAATATAAGATATCCTTAAAATGTAAAACGTACATCGACCACGAGCGTTAACCGAAAACAGTAGTGCGACGTCGACCGTAGTCGCGACTAGAAACTTTTAAGTTTGTACAGCACGTTTTTTACAGCGCTCGTGAAAATGTGTAGGCAAAACGTTTGGTAAAGATCGTCTGTCATGCCGGACTACCCCCGTCGCCGGTGTTCTTTGAAATCATGATCATGCAGGCCATATTTCTCTATTTTTTTTTAGCCGCACATTTTTGTAACTTTTACTATGAGTTTTCGGAAAACTAAGAGATGTGTATGTGTATCCGGATTAGGTATTAAATTTGACTTCACCACTGATAATTCGGTTGTAGTCGGTATGCTCAACGAATTTCGAAGAAAAAGGAAAAAAAATCAATCGAAACGACGTCGCACACAAACTAAAATTATTTGACAAATCAAGGCGATTCCGAATAATTTCTCTCCACAACCTATGCTTACTAATAGAAATTCGCTCATTGTAGCATTGCAATCGCAGAGTACATGATATAGAATTACGTTCGATCGGATTCCGCAGTGATCTTAGAGTATTTGGGATGGAAGGAGGAATGGCACCACTTCCACGGTCCTCTTTAATTTGCGTATTCCATCCATATCCGTTTATTACGACTGAAGTATTGTTATTGGATAGGAGGCCGCCATGTATGAAGAAGCTTTGATTATCGTTAATGTCTCTTAACCTATTTCGAACTACTATAACATTATACTTAGTCTCTAAATTATATTATAATATATACAATGAATTAAAAATATTTTATAGTAATTATTTGCAGTGGAGTATTCAAGGGGGGAGGGGGGCAAGAGGCCCGTGATCCCCCATTGGTAGTACTTATTTATACATAATATATTTTAACAATACGGTAGTAACAAGTAACTGTCAGATGAGTATAGTCTTACAGCTTTCATAATATACCATATTATTCAATTATTATATAATTTGTACATGATCTAAAAGTATGACTGATAAAGACGTAACCTGATTTCATGATAAAAAATGTTTGGAACAAAGATAGTGTTGATACAAATGTCTTGTGGACAGTGCCGCGTTAAGCTATGTAACCGCCCCGGGGCAAATTAAAATATGCCACCCTTAAGAAAATTACAATTCAAAATTATTTACACTACACTATTAATTACAGTTAGTATACTAACTATAGCGTATTAAGGGGTAGGATAGAAAGTGTACTATGCAAGAGCAATAACTTTACAAATTACTAATATCTATATTGTGTATATTTTAAATAGCACATTATTACTTATGTTTAAATTTTATAATTATTAATGTTACCTCACATATAAATTTAAAAAATTACCAAATGTGACAAAATATAATCTGCTAGAACAAGTTATTAATTATTATCGCCTTGTAACATGCAACGGTAGTAGTCTACGGATTTTTCGTGATATTTATGAACTAAATAATATGTATTATAGTTATACAGTTATACAAGAAAAATTATAATAATGTATTTTCTATTTCATGTTGATCCTCAACAATTTGCCACCCCATCAAACATCATAATATTTGCTACCCCGGAACAATTGCCCCACCATGCCCCCCCCCCCCGTTAAAGGCGGCTCTGCTTGTGGAAGGTTCACGTGTGGAACAAATTAATATAACGTTTCGGCCACCGGTTTCGCTGTCGCTGTTGTTGATATTGTGGAGGAAGTGCGGGTATCAATATAGCCTACTATCTCTTAAACCAAATAGATACAAAGATAATATTTATAAGGAGAAACAAGAAAAGTTAGGAAATTGGTTGAAGTTTTTTGTAAATTATAAGCTTGGTTAATGTTGATATCAGAGCATTTTTTGAACAGGTGTTTTTTCGTTTTAAGGATAAAATATTTTTAATTTTGAACTTGACATTTTTTTACTTTTTGGAAGTTTTTTTTGGGGGATATAATTCTTAATTATAATTCTTATAATTAATTCTCCATAATTCTTCTCCTTCTTACTTATTCTTGATTCATTACATGTCACTTTTTTATTTTCTGTAATGGTCATCCAGTTAATTTTTAACCCAGAAAAAACAGTTTTATAGAAAATATCTATGGAGGTTCATTTGGCATTAACTAGAATGTTACATAAATATATAATCCCTGCACTTCCCTCCACTGCGCACCAAACAACGATATTCATATTTGCTCTGCATATTTAATTCGTGCACAATTAACCAAAAACTGTTTTTATTGAAAAACAGTTACAATAAATAATATAATAATAATATTTATGTATATATATGTACTGGTACAAACATCATTGCGTTTGTTACCTAGTTGTTTTTTAAAACTCGTCTTGTTAACAATAAACAGATAGACCCATTAGTCTAACTTGACATCTTGTACTGATTATATTTCATCTCTGCATTTTATATAGTATTGTACAGTACAATATACAGTACAAAATGAAAAATATAACTTCGAGGTAAGTATTATTAACGGGTTTTGCATGCGAAAAGTTATAGTAAAGCTAATGCCGTTTCCATTCCGCACAGAATGGATTGTCATCACAATTTCGGAGATTATTTGGAAGTGGAATGGAGGAGAAGGTGGTGCCATGAGTGCCACATGTGTGGACGCCAAAATTGGTTCGGCAAGAAGATGGCAAAATGCACAAGTAAAAATTATTTATTGTGTACCTTCAGTAGAACGTGGTATTGCTGTTTCTCGTTCATAACTCTTTGAATACAAAATCCTAAATATTAAATTGAGGGCTATCACTCATATCAGTATTACAATCGAGCGTTTTTGCTATATCAACGCTGCATATATGATCAGTGTTTGCCATTTTTCTTATAAAATATAACATATATTCTATTTGAGACTCCTCAAACCGCTGTTTAAAATGTTTTTGTCAACATCAAAATGCGCCGTTACTATTGCGATAGAGGACATCGTACGGATTTCACCTTCATATGTATGCGCACAGGAAAGTGGTAGCTTAAAATTTTCCCTAATCAAGCTAAATTGTTAAGCGGTGAGGTGCTATAGAATCGGTTCGGCTAGACTAATTTCATGATAATTGGTAGAACAACATAATATTTTATCGTCGGTAGTTAAGACATAAATCATGTTATTAAAACGTAAAATATTCCCAAGTACATTTACAAGCGTTTTGTTTTTCGATTTAAACAAAAATTGTATTCGTCTCGAAAAAAAATCATAAAAATATTAATCACTTAAACAACCTGATCATTTTCATTTACGAAGCGAACAGAGTAGGAAAAAAAATTAAGATTTTCAGTTTACATCGATCGACCAAATTATTAAATTTTTATATTTCTTTTTATTTAATTTTTGTTGACGATACAAGACGAAGGTTTTCTGTTTATCTTAAAAATGTAGTTAGTTATACTATCACGCGCATTACACCGTGTTTTTTTTTTTATGACCGTGTACCGTATGTGCGTTTTGTAGTTTGCAGACGGACGTTTGCACACAAACGTTGCATGAGGGCAGATGCGATCGCTAACGGCTATCCACCCGTGCCGGCCCCAGTCCCTCAGGTTAGTCACCCAGTTAGTAACCCAGGCAGTCGAGACGCGCTGCGCGTCCATTAACACCGAGATCAACAAAACGGTCGAGCTCACGTCCGAAATGGTGGTGCTCGCTCTTCCGGACTGGTTTGCGACGCACCAGATCGACATGCCAATCACTTGGGCGGCCGAGTTCGAGATCCGACCGGGGAACGACATACCCGTAATAACATCGGACACGGTAAAGGCTTCGATCTACCTCTTGACCAACATCGCGGTCACCGGTGACGAGAACGTCAGCATCCGGTCCGTGGCAACGTGGTCCACTGAGGTCGTGGCCAGACAAGGGTGCAAGGCCACGGACGTGGTGAGCTTCGACTTTCGGTGGTCATCCGAGTGGCCGCCCCGGCAGACTAGTCTCCGCCGAATGCGAAATTACAAATCGGACATGACATTAAACACCGAATGCGATATTTGATTAACCAGACGTGACTCGAATGATAACCGGAAACGACTTTGATCATCGAATACCAGAGATGACACATTGAATACCAAAGACGACACATTAAGTTTTTTTGAGGAATATCAGTATTTTTTTTTTTACACCAATAATTATAATGCTTATATATTATAAGTACCAATGTATT